GCCGCCGCCGCCTCACGCAAACATGCCCACGCGCGCGTGCCTTTCTTCCTCGGCCGCCGCATCTCCACGCGCACATAACATCCCCACGCCACTGCGGGACTGCACGCGAGTGCAAGAGCGAGGAACCCGGGTCCTGTGCTCTCCCCGCAGCCATACACACGCACGGTTTTCTCTCCCAAGAACTACCGTCTTCGGTGAGACGTTCACTGCCCAGGACGGAACGCCCGCGCCCCCCCCCCCCCCAAATCTCTTCCTCTACATCTGAAATGCACCTCCACACATGCCCTCTTCTTCAGGTTTAAATAACGTGCCGATGTTGTCCCCATCCCGCCCACCCCCCACCACTGTCGCATTCCCTACTTCAAAACCCCTTCGATTTTCCAATGTTTATATAGCTTGCAAGACACCAACCGTTGGTCGCTGGCTTCAGATCAAACCCCACATCCCAAAAGGTGATCCTGTTTTGCTCCCAATTGCTGCCGAGCCTTCACTTCCTGGGGGGTGGAGGGGAGCCAAGTCTGCCAATGGGCCCCCTCCTTTCGCCTTCGAAGGAATATCTACAGAGTTTGTCCTTTTAAATGCGAACTTTGTCCAGGCACATCCCAAAAATAATTAAAAATTTAAACATTAGAAGGTACGACAATTTATGTTGCAAAATTCTTCATATTTAGGGAAGGGGGGGAAGAGAAAACCCTGGAAAACCCAAATTCCAGAAAAGAAGTCAGTCTAAGAGCTATGAAACTCACTTCCTGGCTGATCTCATGTTCTTCTATGATAAGAGACGGGAATGAGGAAAAAGGAGGGGGGCACCTTGGTAGGAAAGCTTTACCCCCAAGCTTCTGAAATTCTCAAATCCTAACGCTCTAGAAGTTTGTTTGCATTCTCCAAAAGAAGATGCTGAGAATGTTCTTAAATCGGAGCATAATTTAATTCCCCGTGCTGGCTGCTGCCGTATCGCAGAGGGGAAAAATCCTGGATTTTAGGTCTTCTTGTTTAAAAAGTCTTCCTGCCTTTGTCTCCCGCTCTTACCCGCTCTGGTTGTGTATGAAAGAGTTTCATCTGAACCTCATGGAGTCTTGCAGGAATTCCCCACCCCCCCATCTCCTTCGCTCTCCTGATCCAGTTCTTCCCCCAAACCTTTTTCCGCTGTTTCTTACATTCATACAGTTAGTTGTGCAAAGCATAACTCCTCG